TTTTACATATCTGTAGACGAAACCACTGATTCCTCAGGAAAGTATATTGCTCATTTATTGATTGGTGTTCTTCAAGAAGATACCTTACCAAAATCTCATCTTATTTCATGCCAGCAACTTGAGAAAACAAATGCTTTAACAATTTCGCGTTTTATACAAGAAACATTAGCAACTTTTTTTCTTCCGACAACTATTCCTCTAATAAATTACTGCTTATTTTATCGGATGCTGCTCCTTATATGGTGAAAGCAGGACAAAATTTAAAAATATTTTTCCCAGATTTAATACATGTTACTTGTGTAGCGCATGGATTAAACAGAGTTGCAGAGGAAATACGAAAAAAGTTTCCTCTTGTAAATACCATGATATCCAGTGTCAAAAAAGTATTTCTTAAATCTCCTATAAGAATTCAACTTTATAAAGAAATGCTACCTAACATTCCTCTTCCACCACAAACTATTTTAACGCGATGGGGAACATGGTTAGAAGCAGCTAATTTTTATGCAGATCATTTTGTTAAAATAAAGGACATAATTGATACGTTAACAGATGAAAGTTCCCAATCTCTTTTGGATTCTAAACAAACTTTTCAGAGTAACTTGCTTCAACAAGAACTTTCATTTATAAAATAAAATTTTAGTTTTGTTCAAAAAACAATTACTCAGTTAGAATCACAAAAACTGTCATTGTTCGAAAGTACAGCATTAATAAAAGAATTTGCGTCATGTTGTCGGAACGTTAGAGGTAATATTGGAAAAGATATTTTAAAAAAATTTGAAGCTACTATGGAAAAAAATAAAGGTTACCATATTCTTTCTGAAGTAGTCAGTGTTCTAGCTGGAAATATTTCGGAAACAATTAATTTAGAACCAAATGTTTTGGTTAGTTTGAAAATGCTCCCGTTACATCAGTTGATGTTGAACGAAGTTTTTCCATATATAAATATATGTACTCAGACAGAAGCCACAAGTTTTTGTTAGAAAATTTTGAACACCACTTGGTCATTTATTGTTACCATAATTCTAAATAAGTTTATTCATACTTAAAAATGATGTAGTTACTTAAAATAAATGTAAATCTTAATGAATAGTAGGAAATATTTAGTTATGTACACTTTTTTTTTTAAATAAAATTGTTACTATTTTACGATTTTTTTATTTATTTGTATGCATATTTTGTAAAATATTTGCGTATTTTTGGGTAAACACGTGCATATTTATGCGCATATTTTCTACATTTTTATTTGCATATTTGCCGAAGTCTAGTTATGACGGCTCAGTAAATATTTATGGGGGAGGATTTTGATACGCACTGTATAATACTAGAATGTTTGGCATCAAGTGCAATAAAAGGATAATTATTATTTGGTTCAAATCCTTCTATTGTAGGAATTTTCGTTCTATAGATTCTTTTGTGTTCCCGTAATTGATCTATTAAAATAACTCCCCATTGTGACTAAAATAACAATATTTTACGACTATTGTGTTTCTACTATCGACAACAAGACATTAAAGAATGATGAGTGAATAAAAACTTAAACTTAAAGTAGTTATCAATTGGGTATAAACAAAGTATCTATAAATGTGGCCGATTTCATTCGCGTACCAGTATTCAGAAAGATATATATTTTCATCAAATAACATCGATACTAAAATAGCAATTATCAAAATTATCAACTGCACTATAATCTTTATTAATACAAAAAAAAAACAAGTACCGCTTGCCTTTAACATTGACCGAATGCCAAACGAAATAACTATTGGTAAGAGGATTAAATTTTAACGTTGCACCAAAAAAGCTGGTAGTATTTTTATTCTTCATCCATCTATCGATTTTCCTCTTCACGAGAATAAACTTTTCACTTTATTGCACCGTAAAACTGCAAGAAAAGAACATGAAAGGGCAGCGTTCAGATGTTTTTACACTGTAAAAAAAGCTCTTTTATTAATGGAAACAATATTTAACAAATAATTATTGTATTTTTTGTTTCTGTATCCTATTCCGAATCACTTACCGAATCTTTACACTTCCAATTATACCTAACGTTAACTTAAATTTTTTTCCGCACCTACCTCGTATCACTCTGTGACAATTTTTAACATTTTAGAATATACGCATTCTTTATATACGTTATTCTGATGGCTTTCATCACATATTGCTAAAAAGAAACCACACTTAAGCCTCATACCAAAAAAATTATCTTACGATACCCTTATATACGCTGTTAATTTAACTGAATAATAAATATCAATCACTCTTAGCCACTAAATGAGCGTAACTCGAAAACGTGAGAATAGCAACATTAGCCATACTCTCTTTTTTTAAATAGGGTTTAATGGACAACTTAGATTGCATTGCGTGGGCGATGCCATCAGTCCGCACCAAAAACCGACACTCTCACCTCTGATCTACTAATGAGCCGCAATCATCATTATGATCATCACCCAGCCATTTGCGTCTACTTCTGGATATATGACTCCCTCATTTTTGTCCATTGTGCTCTATCTTGAGCACTTTTCATCCAATTTATTCACATTTTCTTGACATCATCAGTCCAACGAGTAGAAGGTCTTCTCCCACTTCTTTTGCCTAACCTCAGCCCTGCTAAAGCAATCTCTTCGTCCACCTTTCATTTCTGATTCGTGCGACGTGTCCCGCCCAGTTCCATTTCAGTGTGGCAATTCGGGAAATTACATCGGTAACTCCTGTTCTTCGTCTTAAGTCTTCATTTCTAACTCAGTCACGAAGTGATATACTCAGCATTGACCTTTGCATTTTCCTCTGAGATATATTCTTCTTCTTCACGTGCCATCTCCGCTACGAAGGTTGGCTATCATCATGGCAATTTGACCCTGGAGGCTGCCGCTCGGAACAATTGTATGGAAGTGCAAGCAAACCACTCCCTGAGGTTTCTCAACCATGACATTCTTCTCCTACCTATGCTGCGCCTACCTTCAATCTTTCCTTGCATAATTAGTTATAACAGTTGATATTTATTGAGATATATAGTTAATGTCAAAGTTTTGGCACAATAGGTCATTACAAGCAACACACATTGGTCAAATGTTTAAAGTTTTAAAGAAATTGGTATACCGCTTTTCAAGATGTCTCTGAGTTTTCATAGGCTGCTCATACTAGGGTTATTCTTCTTCGTAGTTTGCATGTTTGTTTGTCTCTTGCGATCTTTATTTCGTGTTCAAGGTCTATGTATTTTTCCACCAGCTCTACTTCGTTGTCTCCAACATTCATATTTCCGCTAGGTACGAGGTTTGTCATGAATTTTGTTTTGGAGATGTTTATTTTAAGACCCACACTGGCACAGAACAAAACTATGCCGTCTGCGAATTTTAAATTTGTTAATTTTCTACCGTCAATGTTCAGACCTTTCTCTTCCCAGTGAAGTGTTTTTACAAGGATATTCTAGTACTACGGTAAACAGTTTTGGCGATAAGGTATCACCCTGTCGGACTTTTCTGGCGATTTGGATATGATCCGTGTTTTTATGTAGTTTCACTGACATAGTTGCGTTCTTTTATGTATTATAAATTAACGTCGTATATCGGTAGTCAATGCGGTATGGTTGTAGTGCTTTCAGGATTTTGTAATTCTACCGTGTTAAAAGCTTTATGGAAATCTATAAAAGCCAGAACGAGTGGTCGATTGTATTCGATAGTCTATTCTATCACCATTTTAATGCTGTGTAGGTAATCATTTGTTACAAATCCAGTACGAAATCTTGCTTGCTCTATTGGTTGGTAGAAATCAAGTTTTTTCTCAAGATGGTTTGTTACTATGCTTGTAAGGAGTTTGTATAGGTGACTAAAAGACTTATAGGTCCATAGTTTTCTAATTCATGCATCAGTAACTACACAATCTTCGTCTGCAGATTTGTTATTCTTAGCTTTTCCTAGGATAGTTTTATTTGGTAGTTTCTATTATTGTGTTTTCCGGTAGTAGTTCTGATCATTGCTTGACAATGCCATTTTCCCTTGATAATATTTCTGGTACTTGATCTTATCTGCTATTTGCTATGTGTTGGCTTGTGTGGACTGCAATAACACAATATCATTCGTTATTTACACATAATTTTGCCCTGTGACGGCAGCGTTAGACCTCGTTAAGTAGTTTGTAGTGATTATTAATATAATATGTTACGGGTAAACCCCGAAATTGTATAAAACTAACTTTATCCAGATACTTCGCGTATTATCCAAGTTGGCTGGATAAAAGTGAAAGGAGATCGATAACTTCTTGATTTATCTGGGTCATTCTAGATATATCTAATATAAAATGGATAGAGCATAAGTATATTTTAAACTTGTGTATACATAGCACCACTTACATTTACATTTTATTTACTTTTTTTTCTTTATTAAGAATCTACTACAGAATTATCCTCCAAAAGATATATTTCTTCGGATTCGATAAGCATTAAGTGCCTGAAAAATTTTTGGTATTTGAAGTTTAATGCATGTAAAACTTGTGTAGTAGCTTGTAAACTTTAAATTAAGTTGGTATTTGCTTGTTAAAAACAAACAAATAGACTATTTTACGAATGACATTAAGAAAAAGACCTAAATAATTTGCCCTAAAATGAGTATAAGGATAAAATTTCTGAAATTGTTCGTTACTTTAAAAGACATTTATCTATTAACCACTAAACCAAATCAGGATTTATTATTAAAAATAGCCTAAAATTTGTTTTCTCTTATTCTCTTACAAATAACTTCTTTTAGAAAATTTCAAAAATGTTGATCTTTTACGAAATACATTCTTATATTAAAGGTACGTATAAACATTCTAAGATACTTGAGTTATACCATAATAGATCAGATAACAAAGCAGGCACGACCAAATGCCGAAAATAAGCATTTTCAACATTTTTCAGGTAATTGATTTTCCACATATAAATATACTTCCCCTTTTTACGACCCCGTAAAAAGGAAAAAATATAAAGAAAATCTGAACCGACGACGTTTGTTGAAGTTTACCTCGTAAGTTTACGACATAATACTTACATTTTCAGCTGCATCCAAGTCTTTGATGTTATTTATATAAATATCTCCGAGCAATATCAGTCCCTTGACGTGGTCTGGATGATACTTCACGAGTTGGTTTAGAAACGGAGCTGCCTCTAGAGGTCGTTGGTCGTCGGCGAGAAGCAGGGCCAAGTTAAATAGGGCGCTTCGGAAGTCTGATTTGAGATGGACCGCTCTACGAAACCTGGAAATGTATTCGATTAATATTGATATAAATACACCCTAGATTTCTATTGCTGTTTACATAGAATCGCATATTTCATCTGAATTTTGATTGAAACTGTTACTTGTAAAAAGATATTAGATAATAGTGTTCAAATATATAAGATAACAAAAGTATTAATTATTATAAATTGTACACTATAGAGCAGGATCAATTATTTATAAAACTTCAAAATATTGTAATTTATAATTAAATCACAAGTATACAGGTCAAAAATGGACAAGAATACCTATGTGATATGAAATACAAGAAAACAGGCTGTTATTAGAGCATGACTATAAACTATGAAGTAATTAAAGTCAAGAGTCATTAAATAATAAACCCAAAAATAAATGTTAAGATTGTAACTTGAAGTAATATATATTCTTCTTTAGATACATTATATATATAATACATACATCAGAGAAATAAAACAAAAAAAAACATGTTCGAGACACTGACCCAGTCATGTTGAAAATGGGTTTATTGGGTACTATATACTATATTACACCTTTATGTTCTGCTATTCGTTTATTAAAATTTCTACCAGTTTGACCGATGTACATAGAAGGCTTTCAATAACAGAAAACAGATTCTACATACATTCTACAGTTAGAATCTGTAGAAATCAACAAATTAAAAAACACAGATATAATTCTGAATGATTAACGTGAGACAAACAGTCAGAAGTTTGAAAACAAAGTTTTCAGTGTTTTATTGTTACATAAAATGAATTTCCATCAAGTAATGGTCGGATTTAACAATTATAAACATAATTATCAGAAATTCCCGAAACAGGTCGATTTTTAATTTTAATTTACTATTTTTTCAAAATACAATCTAATATACAGGTTGAAATACTTTCGAATTATAACGCCGTTACCATTTTTTTTTTTCAATTGAACTCCCCTTCTTTTTAACTGATAGAATTCCCTTGTTGAGATGATTCTAAAAATGTATACTTTACGTCAAAGTGGCAAAAATTCGCACGTGCCTACATAAAATAACAAATAAATTCAATATTGGCTAAATAAGAAACATTCTTAGAAATTCCGGGAACAGGTCAATTTTTTATTTTACTTTACTATTGTTTTAAATTATTTTCTGATATACAGGGTGAACCATCTTCGCATGATGACGTCATCACCATTTTTTTAATGGAACTTTTTATTTCAATTTTTAGATTCTTCTTGCTCATCATCATGCAACCTCTTTTGTCCACTGCTGGACACATCTCTCTCCCATTTTTCGCCACTCTTCACGGTTCTGTGCTCTTGTTGCCATTTCTTGGATATTCGTCTAATGTCGTCCATTCAACGTATTGGTGGTTGTCCTCTGCTGCTTTTGTCTTCTCGTGGGCGCCATTCAATTAGTTTTCTGGTCCATCTTGTGTCTTTCAGTCTCGCTATGTGACTTACTCAATTCCATTTCAGTTGGGCTATACATTCGACGACATCACTGATACCTGTTCTTTTCCTTAAGTCTTGATTCCTTATTTTGTCTTTTCTGTCACTCCGAGAATTGATCTTTCCATGCGCCTTTGTGTCACTCGCATTTTTAGTGCTGTTGTTTTTGTGAACGTGGGAGTTTCTGCTCCGTATGTCATAATAGAAAGAATGCATTGGTCAAATGTCTTCCGTTTCATAGCTATCGGGATGTTGCTCTTAAAGATGTCTCTTAGTGAACCAGATGCCGCCCAAGCAAGTGTTATTCGTCGTTAAAATTTGCGGGTCTGGTTGTCCTTGCCCATTCTGATTTCATGACTAGGATATATGTACTTTTCTGTCAATTCTAGCACTTGATTTTGGATGGTTATGTGTTCGCTGGGAACTAAATTTGTCATAAATTTGATCTTACTGATGTTCATGCTTAGACCTATTGTTGAAAATACGTATTCTTATTCTTGTAGTATTTGTTGAGCTTCACCCAGTTTTTCGGTAATAAGTACTATGTCGTTGGCAAAACGCAGATGATTTAGCATTTCTCCATTTATTTTTACTCCTCTGTTTTCCTACTTTAGCATTTTAAAGGCGTATTCGAGGACCGTTATAAATAATTTAGGTGAGAGAGCGTCGGCCTGTCTCACACCTCACTTGATATGAATTTCTCTGCTGAGCTGATTTCAAAAAAACATAACACGTTGCTTATAAAATAAAAAATAAAAAATAAACGTATTAAACACATTAAATAAAATTTCATTTTGTTATAAAACTACTTTAATAAACTTCTGCACAACAAAGAATAAACAACACATTTTTTTACCACAAAGACCAACACAAATATACATTTATTAACACCCGTAGACAAAGATCTATGATAGAATATGTTATAACCAACAGAGTTATACATCTATCGAAAATATAAGTCATAAGATGCCTCAACTTAGCAGATGTAGGTAGCGACCACAGCCTAGTACTATTTAATATAAGGATCATCCTGAAATACTTCCCACCCAAGAGAGTGGCGCCAATACAAACAACACTCAAAGTCAAAAGACTTAATACGAAATCAACGGAACGCTTATACAGAAAAGAATATCAGAGGAGACCGCTGAAAATAAAATATAAGAAAACGATAACATCGAGGAAAGCTGAGAAAAACTCAAAAATAACATAATTAACGCAGTAGTAGAACCACTTGGAGAGAGAAAAGTAACGAACACTACCAGAATAATAATTTAGTAATAATAGTTTAGTTAGACAAATAAAAAGGGAACACTGGCAGAGCTTCTCAAAACGGATGGAAACCGACTTCTACGAAACACAAAAAGAAATATAGAGAATGATCAGAGGACAAAGAAAAGAGATGAACGTATAAAAATCAATCAATCAATCAAATAATTCAATCCTTATTTGTTAAAGGTGATGATAATGAACCACAAACATCAGAGGTGACGACAAACGAAGAAATAAATATTGAGGAGGAAGAAGTAAACGAAGCATTAAGGAAATTAAAAAATAGAAAATCGCCAGAAGAGAACAGAATACCGAACGAACTCCTAAGTACGGGGGACCAGATCTGACCAAACCACTATTAAAACTAATAAAAAAATAATAGGACAAAAGACGATCAGTAGGAAGACCACGAAAACGATAGAACGACAACTTACTGGAGGCACATTGAAAAACAGACAGAGTCATGTCTATATAAAAATAAGAAGAAGAAGAAGAACTACTTTATAAACTATTAAAAATACCTTGCATTATTTGTAACCTTGTATTAGATTTTATTAGCCCTTGAATGATAAAAGCATTTTCTAGCAGCTTTTATTAGTGATTCAAGCCCCAAGGCACATAAAAATATTTTTAATGTGTTTAAGTATTTTTTAATTTTTTTTTTTTTCATTTGATGTTAGAAACTGTCAGAAATAATAAAGTACAAATCCGTAGTGTAAAGGTTTTACAGAAGGTACGTCTACGTGAAAAGTATTCAAGCAGTTTATCATCTGCAACTTTTTTTACAAAATGCCTTCAACCGAAAGTGATAGGATTGAAATATTAATGATGATTGGTATTGGACTCAACAAGAAGTATGCCAATTTTTTCATGAAAGGCACCCGTATCGTAAACGTATTTTACAATCTACGGTAAGCAGAATAAAGCAAAAATACAAAGAATTAGGTCATGTAAGGCCAAGGTAGACCAAAAATTAATGGAAATATGTAACAAGACATCATTTCGGCGGCAGTAGAAAATCCAAACGTTTTTAAAAATGTAAAATACCATCCTTACAAAGTACGTCTTATCCATGAATTGGCTGAAGACGACTTTGATCGAAGAACTGAATTCTGAGAGTATATGATTAGCTAACCTAACAATTTCATTGATAACGTTTTATTTTTGGACGAGGCAAGGTTTCATTTGAACGGTTATGTTAACCGGCAAAACACTCGTTATTGGTCTGATAAAAATCCACACTCAATGCAAGTGTTCCATACACAAAAACCACAAAAAACGAACGCATGGGCTGAAATTGTAAGAAATACTTTTTTGCCACCCTGTACCAATTTGAAGCAACGTATTATACAATTTTGTAATTAGCACAGCAAGGGAATCCCATAAAGTGATAAAATGGTGAAGACGTCATCATACGAAGGTGGTTCACCCTGTATATTAGATTATAATTAGAAAATTAGTAAATTAAAATCGACCTCTTTCAAAAATTTCTAATAATGTTTATTTAGCTAATATTGAACTTATGCGTTACTTTATGGACGCAGACGCACTGTATAATAGTTTTTTACAAAATACAGCTTTTTCGTTTCAATCGATACAGGTAAAAATAGTGTAATTTAATATATTATTTATTTTTTATTCTTATTATTTATTTATTTTAAGAATTAAAATGGGACAAAAAATCACTTTTCTTTTTTAAACAACAAAGGGAATAAGACAAGGTTGCTGTCTGTCACCCACCTTATTTACCAGTAAGTAAGAAAGTACCAGGTAGTAATTGCCGAAGACTGCTACGATCTTAGCTATATGGTAAGAAAACTTCGATAAGAATATGAGGTGGCAGGTCTAAACATGAATATGACAAAATGTGGATATCTTTCAGTGGGAACAGATGAAATATATGGCGCAGTCTTGGAAGACGACAAAATCAAAGGCGTGCAATCCTGCAAATATTTGTAGGTCATTGAACAATATATGGGGGGGGGGAAGAAAAAACAAGGGTACAGCAGCGACCCGTGTCTTAAACTCTCTTCTCTGGCAAAAACAATTCGACAGGAAACCAAAAAAAAACATTTACGGTAGTACAGTCCAAAGTATTACACTTTACAGTTCGGAAGTAATGCACGTCACCAAAGCTAATAGAAACCAACTTATGACAACAGAAGTGGATTATCTGAGACAAAGCTGTAGTAGATCGAAACTGGAGAGAGTTAGAAACGAACAAATAAGAAACGAAATGGAAATGGAGAGAAATATTAATGATGACATAGAAAGAAAAACAATTAATCTGGCTCGGACATGTTAAAA